AAAAGGTTTATCTTTAGAAATGCCAGCTCATAATCAATCTTCTGGTCTTTTCCAATATAGATGCCATATTGATACTACTATTAGTGAAGCCAGGACAGTTGAGAAAAAAATATCCAAATCCTTAACTTCTCTATCTTCAGAATTTCTTATTAAAAATGAATCAGATATAGATATCCTTATCCTTCTTTTATAGCAAAAATTCCAAATGTCTGAAAAAAGGTTAAAACAATAGCGAACCAAGATTACCTTTGAATTGCGAGATAATCAAAATTACTAGAAAAAAGAGCACGAGAGTATGAGTAAGGCTGACTTCTTAAAATATAAGCAAAATTTTGAGACTAAGATGGGTGTATCTACTACTCCACACAAAAAAGAATTGAAAAATAAATCTTTGGTACTCATTGAATATGCATAACTATTGTTTAAGATAATATTATCTAGTTTTAGTAGTAATTTCTAAAGTAGAGAGATTGCTACATTTAGCTAGTTATTCATCTTAGATAGAGGGTTTTTGTCACCTCTTACAATAAATATGAGAAAAATTCAAATAAAAAATTAATGCTTTCGATACCTAGACAATATAAAGGGACTTTTGTATCATATAATTTTTATCAGACTCAAACTTTATATATCATCAAATGAATATCAAAAAAGTGATATGCAAAAGTAGGCTCGAAGAGCCATGATTCTTTGAATCGCCTAATGGTCTGCTTGCAATAAAAAAAATTGAGCTTTTATGTATCATTTAGGTAGATATTAGCAAAGCCAGCATGAAGCACTAAAAAGTGATATACAAAGGTTATCAAAAAGTGATATACAAAGATAAAAAGGTATTAGCGGAGCTGGCATGAAGTGCCAAAAAAGATAATATACAATAGTAAGAAAAAATTGAGCTTTTACATATCATCAAGTAGATATCAAAAAAGTAATATGCAAAAGTTAGCAGAAAAGTGATACGCAAAAGAGTATATATAAGTATGACCTGATTTTTTTAGCATATTATACTAGCTTTACTACTGTAAAGTAGCAATATTCAAACTACTAACTATGCAAGAAGAGCTTTCAAAACTGAAAAATAAAGATCAGATAGTATAATTCAGATACAAAAAAAGTGATGCACAAAGGCAGAATATTATAAAGGAAGAGATAAGATAAATTTTTTGCTTTTATATATTACCAAGTAAGGGTAACAATTCAGCACTATGTGTCTCATTCTTGGGTAATATAATAGATAACAATTTGGCACTATGTGTCTCAATTCTGGCCCTCATCGAGGAATTAACCAGAAAGCTAGGGCACTACGAGTGACAACAGATATATGATCCCGTCATTACTCAAATAATGATGCAAGCGTGAATCATTTATTACTCGAATGATGGAGCGAATACTAATATATCTCTGACGATACAAGCACGAATCATTCATTACTCAAATGATGATGCAAGCTTAATAGAGGTTAAAATGAGTAGCTATAAAAGAAGTAGATAACAATATACCCATAAGTAGGTAACAATATTTACTTATAAGTAGATAACAACCTAATATAAATAGGTAGCAATATATATATATTGCTATCTACTGCTTTCAAGACAAAAAGTTATGCATATGGCAAGCAATATTTGTTGTCTGCAGATGTACCAATATAATATCTGTTTCAAAAAAGAAATCATCAATAGAGTTTTGAAGCAATACATCAGATCCTGTTGCTGACAAAGAATTATTAGAATACCTCTATAAAAATAATATTATTCAATTAAATGAAACTTCAACACCAACACAAAATTTACAACCAGTACAAAGCTCTCAGGACTCAATTTTTTGAAATAGCTTTTGAGATACATTAACTTCCAATAAAAGAGAGTTTGATGTAAAATTTGCATGCTTTCAATTATTGTTCTAAATTTTAAATACAATATTTTTTAAAAATGAATCAGGTGTAAGTAACTGTATATAGTAAGAAATAAAATAATTTAATATTAATATAAAATTTTATCTTAATAGATTAGAAATGACACTATTAATAAAGCCAAAAAACATGCACGGCTTTATGGTCCAGGTGCATCATCATTGGATAAACCTAAAAGAACTATTGAAAGACTTTCTGATATTTAAAAAGAACAGTTTATATTATTTTTTCAGAATAAAAATAATGTTAAAATAAGTTCATATAATATAGATAAAAAAACAAAATTATTAATTCTCTATTTACTTGACCAAAAAATAAACTATAGAATAAGTTTAGTGAATTCTATCCAAATAGTATGAAAAGAACTACATTTATAGCATGGCTTGCTAACTCAACAAACCTTAAATACCATAAAGATCTTGGCGGATTATGTATGATTATAGATATGAAACTTTTGAACTTTTAGAAAAAATTATACTAAGTAATTTAATAAATAAAGATCTTGAGGTTGGTTAGCTTAATTATTATTATTATTATTATTATTATTGCTTAATTCTTATATTATTAATATATTATTTACCTAATAATCACTTTACCAGAATGAAGTATTAAAATATCTTGAGAAACTTAAAAAATATATAAAAAGAGGTTATGAAAAAGAGTTAACAATTAAAATAAATAATTGTGTTGACTGTAATCACTATATTTCTCACTATCTACCTTATGTATTTGATGAATATATCTATAGTTATGAAACAAGATGCTCTGATTGTGATCAACTATTTGATTTTGTGGAATTTATATATGAATTAGTACCTTCAAATATTTATAAGCAAATCACAGAATCAAAAGAAAAATTGTTATATTATCTTTCACATCAAACACGAAAAGTATATCTAAATGCTTAATTTAAAGCAACATTGGCTAAGCTCAACTTTGATGGTGTACTTTTTATTGCCGATTATAAAATGTGAATATTGCCCAAATCTGTATGTGAAACAAAATCTAAATTTTATGGAAAATGTGGTTGGACTCTGCATACAATTTTGGCTTTTACTAAAAAAAATAATATAGAATTAAACATTAGAGCATACAATTATTGGTCAATAGATACCAAGCAGGATACTTGGTTTATAGCATTTGCATTTGAGGTTATATTTGAAATAATAGATAAAAAGCCAAAATGGATTAAAGTAATATCTGACAATAGATCTTATTATCATAATTCTGAATTAATGATTATAGTCAGGTATTGGCACAATTAGTATAATATTGAAGTCTGTGGTTGGTTATTTTTAGAACCTGGAAAAGCAAAAATAATTGTTAATTCACATCATACAGCGGTTAGTATCTTGTATTATACATATTTTTATATTAGAGTGTTGCATATTTTAATTACAAAATCTTATGTACTTACTACTATTCTAAGATTACACATACAATAAAGTAATATTTATAAATTGGATGTAATTTGAAAACAGGAAATAATATAGGCAAGGCGGTTAAAAATCTGTCTGGAACTGCTATAGCAAACATAAAACCATATCATAATAATAATGTAAAAAAAACTAAAATCAAAACTATTAAAGGTATTTTCAAACTATTCTATTGGAAATGGCTTGCTGAAGATAGGTATAATGGATATATTAGTGCATATCAACTTCCCTATATTGGAGAATAGAATAATTTTACCCCAGCATATTTGAATAAACTTTGGATCATTTCATCTTACCAACCACAACTAATGAAATCAGATTATACAATACTAGAATTTTCATGAACAATTTCAATAAACAACAATGAAAAAGATATTGTAGCATATCTATATAATGTTAATTTTTAGTACTAAAAGTAGTTTTAATTTTGTAAAATTAAAAAACAATATTAGTATTGATCAAAATAAAAGAAGTGAAACTAAAAATGAAATAAATAATAGCAAATAAAATATATATAATACAGTATTTATACCTTTTGGCCTTTTACTAAAATATTCAAATTAATTTATTTAAATCCTTTAGTTGTAATATCAATTTCAAGATAGGAATAAAGCTTAATAGAAATTACTGTATCATTATAATTACTTAATTTACTACTAACTTTTTAGTGCAATAGATATAGAATTCTTATTAACTAAAAGATGTGTACTAAAAGGTAACCAAAAGTTGAGAAATAGAAGAAGTATTAGAATCAAAAAAATATAAAATTACTATTAGAGTACTTTTTTTTGAGCAAAAATTTGAAAAAGGATAGAATAAGTACAAGAAATATATATGATGAGCTCTTGAATTATGTTAAGGCTAGGGATATAGAAAAGAAGGATGTTTCACAAATTCTCACAATACAAAATTGGATAATAGTGCTTTTAAGTGAAAAGCAATAGAAAATGAAGTTGAGTTAAAATCTAAAAAGATCCAAGAATACTTGTAATAAAAAATTATATTGATTAGATTATTATATTTTTTATATAATTTAAATAAAAAAAAAAGTTCAAACTTGAAGTTTTGTAATAATAAGCATATTGCTTATAATATTTCACGTTTATTTTTTCTATATTCTTTGAATCAATATAACATAAGTGATAACTATAGATACTACTGAAATTGATTTTCAAAAAAGGCCTATTTCGTCTCCATTAGAGCAAATTAAAATTTTTTATAAGAAAGAGCAAATAAAATTTATATATTTATACTCCTTATAATTTCATCTATTCAAAAAAAGTGTTAAAAAATTTCGTCTTTTAAGTAAAATAGGTCAAAAACAATTTCGTCTTCAAATTTTAATTTCAGATTTTAGACTCTGAAATAATTTCGTCAGCATGTATAGTTGTAATAAACAAGCTAACAAAAATGATCAAAACAATTATATAATTTAAGAAATTTATTTTGGTCAGGATTGTTTGTGGGTAAATAAAAGAATCAGGTTTTAAAAAGTTTACAAAAAACTTGATGTATACAAATCAAAACATTGCTGCTTCATTCTCAGATGAATTTTTTTTAATAATAAACTAAACATGGCAAGATATGTGATGCCTTCTGATTTTCAATCTTGTTGCCTAAAGTATTTTTTATTTAATTACAAAGAATGAAATGAATTTTGTAATACCCTTCTTATCACATTTTATCAAAAATTTAAATCTTACTTAATTAATATAGATTAGTATTAATATTGATCTACAGACTCATTGCCATTTAGCTACACTATTTCTCTATTCTCAGCCTCTCTAATTTTGTTGAACATAGCTGTCATCTATTTATCAATTCCTTAGCCTTTTTCATATTGTCAAGTACAAGTTTGTTATTTTTTTGTACAATTCCTGATTAGGCAAGATAACCCACCTAAAGAAAAAAAATGTACTATTGAAACTAACACATAATAAACCAATTAAAATAATGATGATAAAGATGATTTGCAAAGTAAAACTTATTTAATGTTAGAAATTTTATCTAACAATTTTAAATTTGTAAAATATTAAATGCTTTCTTTGTTGATTAATAATGACAACTTTAGAAAAGGTAAGATGGCCATGCCTTTTACTTAGTGAATATGAGATTTTGAAGTTACACTATCTCGAATTAGAAGGAATTTATTCTGGGATATTTCTTTTCATGGGAAATGTGAGGATGGATTCTATTTCCAATGAAAACTGAGCTGGTCTGCGAGTTACACCTCGGTAAAGTCAGCCGCTATGTGAGATGAATAGGAATCTCTCACTAATCATTTTTTTTTAAAAATTTAATCCAAAATACAAATCACAAGATTGGCCATGACTCTGAATCTGTCATTGCTAAGATCTTGAATGAGCAACTTCAAAATAACCTCATCTAATACTCCTGGGTTTAAATATTTTAAATTTTCTAAGCCTTACTTTCACACCGAAATTGCAAGCATCTTGAAAGATAGGTCAACATTGTAAGTTTTTATTATCCCGGTGAAGCGTAGCATTAATTAAACATGCCGAAGGCTCTTAATAATGTTACAAGATACTGTATATAATATAAATAAAAATATTAAAAAAAAAAAAAAAAAATAACAGGTTTCTTGTGTTAAAAGGATTATCAAGTATGTACCAATCAAAAATCAAATAGGCGGTATGTCACAATGCATACACTTTCGCTTTTACCTATAGAGATTTATTATGAGATAAATCTTTCGGAAAATTGTTCATAAACACTATTCCAAAAATATAGTTAAAATAGAGTGTTTATACTTATAGTAATTATAATATTTATAGATATTATACTAACCCAAAAGAAAATTTTTGAATAAATTATTTTAAAAAATAAATTTTGTATATACGATGAAAAATAAAATTCATCATAAAAGTTGTTAGTTGTAATAAACAAGCTAACAAAAATGATCAAAACAATTGTATAATTTAAGAAATTCATTTTGATCAGGATTGTTTGTTGATAAATAAAAGAATCAGGTTTTAAAAAGTTTACGAAAAAACTTGATGTGTACAAATCAAAACATTGCTACTTATAAAGCTTCATTCTAGATGAATTTTTTTAATGATAAACTAAACATAGCAAGATATGTGATTCCTTCTAATTTCCAATCTTGTTGCCCAAAGTATTTTTATTTAAATACTAAGAATGAAATGAATTTGGCAATACCATTCTTATCGTATATTATCAAAAATTCAAATCTTACTTAATTAATATATCTCTATTCTCAGCCTCCCTAATTTTGTTGAACATAGCTATCACTTATCTATCAATTCCTTAGCCTTTTCATATTGTCAAGTACAATTTTGTTATTTTTTGTACAATTCCTGATTAGGTGAGATTACCACCTAAAGAAAAAAATGTATTATTGAAACTAACATGTAATGAATTAATTAAAATAATGATGATAAAGATGATTGCAAAGTAAAACTTATTTAATGTTAGAAATTCTATCTAACAATTTTAAATTTGCAAAATATTACAGTATTAAATGCTTTTGTTGTTGATTAATGATTACGTCTCTGGAAAAGGTAAGATGGCTGTGCCTTTTACTTAGTGAATATGAGATTTTGAAGTTACGCTGTCTTGAATTGAAAGGAATTCATTCTGGGATATTTCTTTTCACGAGAAATGCGAGGATGGATTCCATTTCCAATGGAAACCGAGCTGGTCTGCGAGTTACACCTCGGTGAAGTTAGCCGTTACGTGAGATGAATAGGAATCTCTCGCTAACCATTTTTTAATAAAAATTAATCTAGAATTCAAATCACAAGATCGGCCATGACTTCGAATCTACCATTTCCAAGATTTTGACCGAAGCTGTTCAATATGAAAATGGGTGGTTTACTACTGATGAAGGAACAGAATGGTTTTATGCTAAAGAGTTGTCTTATTGGAAGAAATTTAAAAAAATTACTGTTTATTGTAATTATGTATTATTAGATTTTTGTAAATAAACGTGATTTTGTATATTTTTTTTTATGATTACATTTTGTATAAACTTAAAATTGGTAACTGATAATGTGCATGTGATTTGGCGTATTTTCTTTGTAGATGTTTGTTTAGTACTGAGAAACCTTTTAAGTTATTAAAATGAAAGTGAAGTGTGTAAGTTTTTATTATCGTGGTGAAGCGTAGCGCTAATTAAACATAGCGAAGGCCCTTAATAATGTTACATTTTGTTTGTTTGGGTTGGTTTCTTGAAGAGATATATTTGTAGTTAGCCAAGAGTTTTCTTAAGAAACCAAGTCATCCTAGCTTTCTTTGTTACTTGTTGAGTTTTTTTCTTTTGTATTTTCTGTAGTTTCTGTGAGTGAAGAGGCTAATTTTAAATTAAACTTTGTATGTTGGGAACTAAAAAAGTCCTTTCTATTAACCTTTTCATAAGCTAAGTTCATCTTTTTGTATCTTTTAAATGGTTGTTTGTGAAGTGTAAGTTCTGTGTTTTTTTTCTTTTGGCTAAAACAAAAGCTTTAGCTCTTGTTGTTATTGGTTTGATGAGGTTTTCCTTCTTTGATGTAGTGGATATTTTGTCTTGTTTATTTTGCTCTTTTCCTGTTAAATATATACAGAAGAGAGTTACCATAGATCTATTTAAATGATTTTCAAAATAGACAATTAAATTTATTATCTATTTTAAAAAATATCAATCCCTTAAACCATCTAGCGAACAAATTTGTCTGCTAAAATTTTTTTTTTTGATTTTGTAAGATTGCACCCGATTTTCTTAAACAACATCCCCTATTCTAGGCAAAAAATAGAAGATCATCATGTTACATATTAACCCGTGATTTAATATCAGGTAATTAGAAGTAACAATAAATGCTCAAATCATGTGCAAGTAGTATAATAGTAAACTTTAAAAAAAGTGATGATCATTATCAAACTCTAGAATAATTTTTTTTTTACAACTATGCCTAATGCTAGTACAAGTTTGACATCTTCTTTGAAAATATAGAAGTAAATAGTGATGACAAGGAAGAATATATGCCACTTCTGACGTCCTGCCACAATTTTTTAAACCCAGAATCAGACGATGAGAATGAAGAAGAGAAAGAGAATACTAAAGGTGTTCGTAAGAGAGGTTGCAAACAAAAAAAATTGCTGCCACCACCTACAAATTTTAAGCCACTAGCTCAGCAAAAGCAACAGCATCATAGGTTCATTAATTTGCCCCACACCATGAAGTTAGTTTTTCAAAACCAATCAATCTTTTTTTTCAATTTTTTCTGAACAATTTGTTGGATCAAATAGTCGTTGATATGAACTCATATGCGTTAATTAAAGGAGCTGGTATTCTTACTAGCAGGCAATAGACGAATATTAACTATAAGGAGCTTATTGTTTGGGTGGCAATTGTCATTTATCAGGGTATTTTTAAGCTGCTCTCTCTTAATCAATATTGGAATGAAGACCCGAAGCTTCTCTTCTATTATATTTCGAAACAAATATCGCTAAAATGTTTCGAACAAATCAAGAGATATTTGCATATCTTCCCTCCTGCAGTAATGATTAAAATTTATTTTGAAAAATTAGAACTACTACTCTCACATGTTTGAAATGTTTCAAAGTAGCTCTACATGCCAGGTTCAAATGTCTCAGTTGATGAGATGATGGTAAGATTTTCAGGAAGAAACATCCACACTATCAGAATTAAGAACAAACCAACTCCAGAGGGTTACAAGGTTTTGTCACTTTGTGAATCTGGATATACATATACTTTTTTGCCAACTTTACATATTTCCCCAAGTAATATGGCAAAAGTGAGAGGGCTCAATCAAATTGGATATCAGGTTTATCATCTTGTTACACAGCTACCATATCTTCGATATCTATACAATATCTATATAGATAACTACTTTTTTAATATTCCTCTTTTTCAGAATCTTTGGCAAATTGGTGTTGGTGCTTATAGTATGGTTGAAAAATGGCT